GAAAAAAATATTATTTTTGTTCCTACAAGGCATGAACAAGTTAGTTCTGATTACAGAGTTGTGTACACTGGACTCGTTCTCAACACGGGACTGCACATTTCTCAACCAAGTCAAAGTTGTTGAATTTTTCGCCCTGAACTAAATTTGCCATCTTACCACCCTCAATATCGCCAAAAAGTAGGCACCACTGGGGTCCGAATCAAGTACATATATTCCAAATTATTAGTTTACAAAAGGCGAACTATGAGCTGTACACCATACAAATAGATAAAGCAAAATAAATCACAGTCATGACAGATACTTTGATGCACTGGAGTACCACAACATGTAGGGAATTAGCAGACACGGTGTAACAATCATAGCGAAACCGATCCATTCAACCTATAAAAAGAAAATTAGAAACAGGTGTATCATGTGAAAAAGAATGAAAAATGTCACTTGTTTAAATCCACATCATGGGTAATAAGGTTTACCAATAGTTTTTTATCATCTATCTATATTCCATTTATACTTAAGGAAACATAAGCATTCCGTTCTCTTTTGGGATATTGCTAAACCGCTGATTGATTTCTACTGCTTTATTTACTTGCGAAGTATAGAATATTTCCAGTGCGCATAAGTTCTACGACTAACAAACTTCACCTAACGAACTCCAAAGAAAAACAAGGAATACAGGACAGCATGAAAGGTCTAATATGAAACAATTTTCCCACGGTGGACTCCGTCTGGTGTGCATTTGGGTGGTGGTGGTGGCGCAGTGGTTTATTCGCTGTCACCGGCGTGCTTTGGACCCTGTGGTCCAACGTTCAAGCCCCGCCACCGCCATTCGACTTTGGTGGTAGGCAGCTCTGCTGTCGTCCGGTTCAATACCACGCCTAACCTATCGGGGCCTTATGTGGTTCGCCACTCCAAGTTCCGGGGCTTAGGTTGTAGATTTCAATCACTGAGCAGCAGGTCCTCGTGACTATGGGGTTTACCACGTCTGCTGTTCATCACACCTAGGTGTGTAATAAAAAAATTCTAAGCCTCCTGTCCATTGAGCTGAGTTTCTTTCTCCCTTTGTTTCATCTGCCACACAACGTCCTCGGCTTGCTTCAAGTTACTCATCACGATTTTTCACCCCACCAAGCCAAACATGTTCGGTTACTCTTCCCTTAAGCTTTCCACTTTACCACACTTATTTGGTGCTATATTCGATAGGGTGAAGCAATTTGATACAATCAAGTTGCATTCATTCTCGAAACTAAAGATCAGTTAAATGAAGCGATGCGTTAATAGCAGTGATGATTGCTGTGTACAGCTGACTGTACCGAACCCGAGTCAACCATCAAACAAACCGTGACAGCGAATCCCAAGGAATGACAGCACTTGTTTCAGCGTCTGGTTTGTGTCACGATATTGTTTACATTGTACACTGATGAGGAAATTTAAATCTGAACCTGACCTGAAGGCGATCAAACCAATATGGATCTCGTATTAAGCAAATTTATGGCTTAAGCGAAGTAAAGCTATGGCACAAACTAAAAAAAATCCCGCGAGAACAGACTTCAGGCGAACCGAAAAAGAGGCAGAAAAGTGATTAAATTGAATATCTTACCGTGTAAGTTGCGAATCTCCGATTGTATTCCTTCACCGGATGTATCATTACCAGCCCAGGGGCTGATGAATACAAAAGCTACAAAGCAAATAGGTGAATAAATGCATCCGTTAGTAGACAAAAGTTGTACAGGTAGAGAACTGATTACGGTAAGTTTTATCATTACTATTGATACATGAAATTCACAAAAGTGATCATTGACAAAACTGGCATTATATTTGGTCCGCCTGTCTGTTGAAATGGAAGACTGGTGTTTAACGGGAGAAAAAAGATTTTCCACATTAATAACTGATATAAGGAAGCGCGGCAGCCCATGACGAAATGGTTTTCCTTGGGGACCCTGACCGAAACCACTGGTTTAAAGTGACCCACGAAGTAGCTGGGGGTAGATCCGACGCATGGATATGACCAAAGAACCCTTGTGGAAGCCTGCGGTGCAAGGCTTTAAGCCTTCGGTTCAGTGTTTTGTCCGTTAATGCATTTGGTTATCGGAGGGATGGTAGTTGGTTTAAATCGCAAATCAGGGGATCAAAACAGAGTAATATGTGACACTGCAATGTCCTTTTGCATCATCATTACCCCATGTGTAATAACCTTGTGTTATCGATGTTATCTTGTGTTATGTTGTGTTATGTCATCGATCAAATAACCGCACAGGTTCATAATTTTCGCATCTGATCTCGTATAAAAATTTAGACAAATGTTCCTATCTCCCTTGGGTGTTCAAACGGCAGGGACGAAAGAATTCCAATGCCACATTATTTTACAGACCGTATTTGTTGTTCATGCCTAGACTGCTGTAATTCATGTTGTTGTTCACGTTGCGTGCACGTACAAAGCGTAGGCGGCGTCCATGTGTGGGTTCGAATCCCACTGAGGCTACTGAACTTTTCACAATCTCGACATACAAACTTCAAATCTGCCAAACAATATGATCAATCAGAATTACGACAAATACAAACTTTTGAACTTGCCGTAAAGACATTTGCACTAAACTAATATCACATCGACATACTGAGTTTCTTTAATTATAATAATCACAGTAGTATGAACATTAGTAATAGTGGGGTGAGATTGATTTGACGCAACCATTCGCGAAACCTCATATTTACACATTCCATAATAATCGAGCACTAAGCAAGAGTTGCGCTTTTGTTTGAACTCAGAACCCTACATTTTGAAGGAATTACCCTTTTGAAAGCTAGTTAGCATTCAGACACCAGAATTACCAAATTGTGTTTGTCTTCAAGTACAACTAGTAAATTCATTTAGCTCATAACGAACGAAGGGAGACAATGTAGTTCGTTTACTCCAATTGAAATCATCGTGGCCAGCTCGGGTTTTACGTGAAGATCCCAGTAAACAGCCCGCACTACATCCATTAAGCTAGATTTGTCGCTTCATATACCGGGAAAAAATTAAATTAACAGGGTTTAAAAATGCATGGTACACACCGTTGTTTTGTCATCTTCACCGGCTATGTAATTTACGGTGGCACTTGTAAAATTATACGGGCCAGGTTTTCTCGGTATTACAACCACTGCGTGCGTCAAGTTGCTTGCGGCTGGGATAGAAGACCATCGCACTGATTGACTGCCATGGATCTGGATGAAGTCGCTATCCGGAAAAGTGTCTAACAATTCAACAGCACGCGCAGATCGACTGTGCAAACAGCAAAAGAAAAAAACAGAGTGAGAAACAAGAAATTCTATGTGCAGAAAGGTAATTTTTCAGTCACAGGGTAACAGTTGGTGGCTGTCTATCTGACATTAATAGCTTACATTGTATTGGTTTTGAGTAGCAGCTCAATGAGCTCAGAACGAAATCCTACTATGACTGGCATGAATACAATTTCATTTAAAAAAGGTATGTATTACTGTTAGTAAGTTAAAATTGATAGATGAACTGTGACGACATCAAAATTAAATTAAGTAAAAAAGGTAATTATTTAAACATTTGTCCAGGATGAACGGAGTCCGCAAATCAATTTAGTTAGCTCAATATCAAAAGAATTCTTTACTGATTTCTACTAAGCTGAAAATATATGTGGAGTTGAAAAAGGAGCAAAGCTGATTGAGACTGGGACAAACAGGGAGAGAATAAAGTGGAACATCGTGAACGAGGCACAAAACAACCTGTTTTGCATGCAGACGTTCAATGGGCCTGGTTCGTATATACTGATAAGAACGACACTGATAACCAGTAACTGGCATTCGATCAGTCAGAGTATCTTCATCTTACTGTTATGCAACTATCCCCTGCCCGAGGGCGGGTCGGATAATATCTCTGATTGCAGCTGCCGACGCATGGCGATCAGCGGTTAAATCAGCGGGAAAGGATACGTAGTTGCGGTCCTTCAGCGCCAAACGTGAACAAACTGCAAAAAACTATTTTCTATGTCGGTTCTGATGGTACTGATTCACAGTTGATAGTCTAAGAGGTAGAGCTTTTACTGGTAGGAGGCGAAATATAGCTCGAATTAATTTTTATTGTTCAGAAAACATGGCCATTCGATCCCAATTTTGAAACTGCAAACATGAGATAAATTCACGCCCTCATCTGGATTCAATGCAGCGTCTTTAAGCAACGAAAATCTGAATCTATGGGACCCCAGCATGGAAGCCGAGAAGCCCTGATGGAAGCCAGATCTTTAACCACACCATAGCTTACCAACCTTGCTATTTCTTCCAGTTCGGACCAATGTCTGTCAGTGAGATAGACGTTGTGCACTGAAATCGTTTTTCGCAACTATCGGACCCTGAAACACGCCGCTTGACCTCATCGTTGTGCAAACGATGCTCTTATCATACGCTGTTCAGACTGTCGAAAACAGTCAATGGACACGAGCTGACCAGAGGCCTAGATTCGCAGCCGTAGAACAACATAGCATGCACCGTTGCGCTATAGACACGTCCCTTTAACCATCATCACCATCGTACAGCGAGATACTGTGAAGCGACCTTCACTGATCGCTGCCAAGCTCGCAATGTACATAAATTAAGTGATAAGGTAAAAGATGGAGGAGGCAAAGAAACTTAACCTCTATGGTCAATACACAGAGTACACAATCTAGCTGTACATACATGCTATTTTCAGGCATTCTGATCTGATAAGAAATGATAAAAAGAACGTCACTGCTGTCGGTTAGTTGTCATATCCTTCAGTGTCTCCAACCAACCAGTTGCAAAGTCTTCTGGACCTCAACCTGGAAGACAGGAGACACCTATTCTACCTAATCGCTCTGTGCATTTCTTCTTGCCTCGTTTCCAAGTCATCTGTTGACCTCCACGTGGTTTCTTCCAACCTGGAGCCGCGACTGTGAATAAGGTGCGATGCGGTAGACGATGGCTGGGCATGCGCAATTGATGTCCTAGCCAGCGAAGCCGACTAATCTGAATTCGATGGGACAATGAATTCGCCATCGAATCATCACCAAATACGCGACACCTTACTTCAGAGTTGCTTACACCCTCGCTCCATCCAACCCGTGCCAAACTACGCAAAAATTATTAGTCCAAGACTACCAGACGGCGAATATCTTCACACCCAAATTTAAGGTCTCACAACTTTAAAGCAGAACTGACCGCATATATATATATGGAAATGGAAGGGGCAAAAGGGATCCCAGAGGTAGTCTGCCAACCCAAAGCTGCTACTCGTCTCAAGTACCCTTTATACCTTAAACGTACCGTGATGGTTCAGAAGGGACCACTCGCTGCAAACCGCGAGACTGGCGGGCTAAGTTAGTTTGGATGACCGACGTGCGAAATTTCAACGAGACGGCGTACGGCCTGCGAAGACAGCTCCTCCAAAGTGGGTGGACGAGATATACTGCTTGGTTTACCGGTAATAGAAGAAATCTGGGAAACCAGTAAGAATATCAGGAATCCTTATTTGAAACCACGATCAGTGAAGTTAGCTTCACCGTATCTCGCTGTGAGATGATGATAAAACCACACCAGTCGAGTGGCAAATAAATTAATGACCCACCGGAAATTATACAGTAAGACAGCTGCCACGCAGTTTGTTTGTTAAAAGAGTAAAAGGTGCATCCTCAAACCCGAAAAGCCGAGTGCCGCTGGAGACGTCTCTTATACTGAACTTCCTCGAAACTTCATGACCATTTATGAATCCGGTATTTGCTATCCAGGCAAAGCCTAGTAAATGTAGTGACTTCCAGTGTATTTATTAAACGATAACACTAGGCGAAGTAAGCCATAGTTACTGCAATCCAATATCAGCTGGTTCACCAATACAACTTTTGTTCAGCTTAAGTTGAGCAGGTGGCTCTTCAATAAATTGTGCGGGCGTTGTAAAAAACCGAAGATAACTGAGGAAAGGAGCTGTGAAACT